GTCTCTTTTCAGTACAATGTGAGAAAATGTGAAAACCAGGCCAGCACTTCCTCAGCTGCCACTCTGATGAAACTTTACCATTCTCTGAGCTGCAAATTCCTTTTTGAAAATAAAGATGTGGGTGTGGGTTTGTTTTATATTTAAGGTGTGGTTAAAGGGTTAATTTAAAACAATGATTTCTAAAATTGTTTGGACAATCCCCCACTGGGCATGTAAATTGGGGGACCTTGGTTAGGTGAAAATTTACCTAACCCATGGGCTACAAAACTCAGAGATAACAGGCAATAGTTCCTGATGTGCAAGACAAGAGAATCTTGTAAAGAAAATGCAATCCTTACACTAACATGCTCTCAACCATCTAGCCTCTGCCTTCAAACAGCATTCACTGCATAGTGAAGAGGAGGCACAGCAGGGCCCAGAGGTGACCCTTTCCTACTGAGGAGGACTGGGCAAATGCCATTGTCTGAGACCTGAAGAGGAGACTCACTATTTCCTTAGTTTTTTCTTTTCTTTCTCTTTTTTTTTTCTTTTGGTCGCCCTGTCGATTGTAGTTTTTATTATTTTTTTATTAATGTTTTATGATAGTGTGGAGAATTATTTACGCATTCATACATATTGAGACATCTGTGTCACATTTGTTCCACTTTATCGTCCCTTCCCTCACATGCAAAGCCTGCTGATTTACTTCCTCTCCACAGAACAGTCCCACCTTCCACATTTGTATTCCATGTAATCCATTACCAACTCTCCCCTCCTTCAAAAAAATGTTCTTCTCTCTCATGGTCTCATTTCTAGTTTCATGACCCATGTGTAACTATGACCATGAAATACATACAGATATATACACATTCATACATATATATGTGTATATATGTATGTATATATATATATACATGCACACAAAATATGGAGTGAGAGATTTTGCATATGAGACAAAACATTTACTTTTCTGAGTCTGCTGATTTCACCTAACATGATTATTTCCGACTACAACCACATCTCTTCAAATGCTGTGACTTCATTTCTTTTTCAAGTAAAAAGTCCGCTGTGTATATGCGTCACATTTATACCACTCATTCATCTGTTGATAGAATCTAAGCTGGTTCTATTTCATGGCTATTTTTTTAAGTGCAACAAAAAGACAAACAGAAGCACGCAAACATCTTGTATGCTACCTTAAATTCTTCTGACTTACACCTAAGAGACATGTGGTTGGGTCATATAGTAGCTCTACTTTTGATTTTTTTCGAGAAAGCTCCATAATAATTCCATAGTGTCTGCACAAGTTACACTGCTACCAGCAGCATTTGCTGTCATACATTTTATGATAATCATTCTGACTGGGACAGAATAAAATTTCAAAGCAATTCTAGCTGGTTATTTCCCAGGATATGAAATACTATTTCAAGTATTGTTGACTACTCAACTTTTATTTCTTCTTTTAAGAACTTCCTGTTCACTCCAGACAGACAGTTGGGGAACCTACATAAGACTTAACAAGGCACCCTGAATATGGGTGTCAGTTGTGGGGCTTGAGCAGTCTATGGGGCCATTGGCAGTGGAGCCAGTATTTATCCCTAGTGTTTTTGGAGCCCATTCCCTATGGAGGGATACTCTCTCAGCCTAGATACAGGGAGGAGGGCCTCAGTCCTGCCCCAAATGATGTGACAGACTTTGATGATCCCCCATAGGAGGCCTCACCCTTTCTGAGGAGTGGATGGGGTGTGGCATGGGGAGATTTGGGGAGAATGGGAGGACAGGAGTGAGAGAGAACTGTGATTGATACGTAAAATAAGATTATTTTTAATTTAAATTAAAAATAACTTCCTGTTCAGCTCACTAACTTTTTTATATATTGCATAATTAGAAGGGGGTGGTGTTTAACTTTGCAGTTCCTTATATATACTATGTATAATTCTCTAATATAGGGTTGACAAGGGTTTTCCATTTTAAAGGCTGTTTCTTCATTCTGTGACAGTTATAATGCATTACTGAAACTCTATTATTTCATGTAATCTCATTTGTCAATTCTTGGAATTATTTTCTATAACAATACAGTCTTTTTGTTTTTTTCAGAAAATTTGAAGGTTTTTCTCTCCTGATTTCTTCTTCTAACAGTTTCAATGTTTCAGATCTTACAGTGAGATCATTGTCCCATTCTGAATTGATTTCTATCAAGAACGTGAGATACGGATTTGCTAGTTTATATGTGAAGAAATCAAATTTTCTGTACCTCATGTAGTGACATATTGTTTATAACCTAATAGAACTTGCCTGAAGAACAGAAAAGCAAAACAGCAAGTCACTAGCTCTTACCTCTGCCTCAGACTGAAAGGGCGAACCAGAATCCTCGGCGTGGCAGAAGACTAATTGCCTTCCTCTCCTCAATGTGGCTGGAGACTAATTTCCAGTTCTGAAACCCTGCTCTTATCTTATAGATCTCTGTGGTGCTGGGATTAGAGGTGTGAGCTCTGTTTCTCTCTCAGACGATTCACTCTCATATAGTGCTGGGTGGCCTTGAACTCACAGATATCCATCTGCCTGTCTCCTGAGTCCTGGGATTAAAGCTGTGTGCCACCACTGTCTAGTCTCTGTGGCTGACTAGTGTGGCTGGCTTTGAATTCTGATCTCCAGGGAAGCTTCATTAGATCAGAAACAATACATCACTGTAGCTTTCTCCAATATATTTTTTCAAATTTTATACCTTTGTCAAAATTATATGACTATATCTGTGTGAGTATATTTTTGTGTTCTCAGTTCAATTTTAAATGTGTATTATGCTAGTTCCATGGTGTATCTGTAATAATGGCTGTATAATATAGTTTGAGATCAAGTGTAGTAATGTCTCCAGAATGGTCTTCCTCCTTAGAATTCCTTTGGCTCTTTGAGTCTTTGGTGTTTCCATATGGGCCTTGGGAATGTCTTTATAGTTAAACACATCATTACAATTTTGGAAGTATATCCATTTTACTACATTAATTCTGCCAACATATGAGTGTTCTATTTCCTAGTGACTCCTTCAGTTTCTTGCTTTAGTATCTTAATTTTTCTCTGTATAGGTATTTCCTTTCCTTCACTAGGTTCATGTCTACATGTTCCAGCTTTAAGAAACTAGTGTAAATGAGACAATTTCCATGATTTATTTGTCAGTGCATTCATTTGCTTTCTGCTGCTTTGCTTGAAGCATTTATAAAAGAGTTATTAGGATCTTTTGTGCATAAGTTCACATCATCTACAAATTGGAATATTTTGACTTATTTTCTTGTTTGTAGTTCCTTCTTATCTCTTACCTTATTAACCTAGTTAAAAACCTCAAGTTCTATGTTAAATAAACAGGGCGGACACTTTGTCTCGTCCTTGATGCCAGAGGAAATGCTTTCATTTTTTTCATTTAGTATAATGTTGGTTATAGTTTTGTCATGTGTACCTTTTATTATAGCTTACTTTTACAGGGGCATAAGGGGAAATGTGTATTTTCCCCCCTGAGGACTTAACAGGTTGAACCATAAAGGGACTTGGGAGGATTTTCCCCCACTTTTCTGCCAGATGTATTGTCTTATGCAGGTGACAAATTACTATTATTGGATTGTATTCCTGACAGTTTCCCCTTCAACACTGCTACAACTTCAGAAGTCATCCTCTTTCTTCTCCCATGAATCACCCACTCTTCACCCCCACATATTAACAGGAACATGCCAGTAAGAGTGTGGGCTTAGGAAATTCCCCAACAGTGGAAAGCTTCCACTAAATATCTTCTAGGACTCTGAGAGTACAGAAAGTAATGAAACCAGGGTAAACTCTGCTTGTTTACAAGGCATAGGCACTGAAGTTACTTCCCTGACTCAGCTAATAGTCCATCCACCCCCAGGAGTATCACAGCATTTGCCATATGACTGCACCCTTAGCCTCAACAGAGGCACTGCCTACTCCCCCTGACATGTGTCTGTGAATCTGTTTCCAAATCAATGGACACAATGCTTCTTAGGGGATGCCTACTTGCTTATTGACTGGAGAGAAGAGGCATTTATGGTTCCAAAAATGAACGAGCTTCTGCTCTTGATGGCAAAAAGAACTGACTTTATAATCTTTGAAAATGATTCCCATTGGACTACCTGTAAACACAAGGATTTGCAGAGGGTCTCTTGCCAGAGTCTGTTTGCTGCCCAGATTTTAAAGCATATTTTTGCAGAGTCCCAAATGTACCTATGGAGTTCAGAAACATATTCCCTTTCTCTTTGACTCAAAGCCCTTCCAAGAGATGCCCTTCCCCTTCTCTACTGCTTTTGTCTATTGCCTGGTGTCAAGGTAGATTATTTTCTCTTGCAATCTAAGGGACAGAATGTCTGGAATTTACGTCCCTTCTATTTCCTTTGCACTGCTTCCCTCCCATATATTTCCGTACTACTCACACACGCCTCACATTCTGTTTCAGACTCTAGGTGTCTGTGAGTCACCATCTATCCTGAATGGATTCACATGGCAGTATTTGAGACTCTGCATGCAAATAGCCTCCAAGAAGCTGACACTGGTGTCCTCTCATTGTCGCAACAAAGATGGACATTCACATTAGTGAAAGCAATTCCCCACATATACCAATTGCAGGCTGGTTTGCTTGTTTGTTGGTTTTTCATATACTCCACCAACGTAACAGGTTAAAAGCAGAAGTAGCTATAGAAACACAGCAGAGAAAGACATGAATAATTATAGCATGTGATTTTAAAAACCCACTCTTCTCAGTATATTTTGAAACAATGAGCACTGGGTGTGGCTCAGGGGTCTGAGCAAAGGCAATGGTACGGGGCAGAACTCCCAGAAAATCCCTACTCACATTACTCACAAACCTGGAGTTTCCCTTCTCTTGTAAGTCAAATGAAGAGCTTCTGCATGGATACTGATGACTAGACTCCAATTCTCACTCCCATTGGCTATCAGGTTCCTATCAAACTGCTTTTTCAGTCACCATGAACCCACAGGAACTTGACTCTCTCCAAATCCAGGGAATGGAGACTTCGTTACTCTGCGCTCTCCACCTGCTGCTGGGGGCTTCTCTTGCCCTTACCCAGACCTTTGAAGGTGAGTTGAGGTCTTGAGGGAAAGTCTTTTCCAGGGAGAACACCTGGAAAGCTCGGCAGCCAGACCCTCCCAGCTGGGCTGCCGATACCCTACTCCTTTGAGCCCTGCACCTCCTGTTTCCCTTCCACCACTTGCCTTGGTTCCCCATGGAAGGAGGGTCAAGCCAGACATCAGTCCCTTGCTTCCCCAAGGTTCCCACTCCTTGCGGTACTTTGACATCGCAGTGTCAAGACCTGGCCTAGAGGAGACCCTCTACATGACCATTGGTTATGTGGACAACACAGAGTTCGTGCACTTTAACAGTGCGGCAGTGAATCCAAGGTTTGAGCCCCTGGTGCCCTGGATGGAGCAAGTGGGACAGGAATACTGGAATGACCAGACTCGCATTGCCATAAGTGCAGAACAGCGGATTCAAACATACTTCCAGAAACTGCAAGGCTACTACAACCAGAGCGAGAACAGTAAGTCACACTAAGCCCAGGTAGTGGCCAAGCCTCTTTCACATCTCCATATCACTAGGTCCAAGGTTCATCCTGAGACTATGAGACCACAGAGAGCCTTGACCTGGAAAGGCCGGGGGGACTAAGAGCTCTTTATGGGTCTCAGTTTAAGGCCAAATCTGGTTGGGTAGACAGGGGGGATGGATGAAAGGCCTGGGCCAAGTGGGTGGGACTGACTTGTGGAACCGGGCCAGGTCCTCACACCATCCAAAGGATGACTGGATGCTACATTGGACCAGACGGGCACCTACTTCATGCATACCGTCAGTTTGGCTATGATGGGGAAGATTACCTCACCCTGAACGAGGATCTGAGCACATGGACTGCTGCAGACATGGCCGCTGAGATCACCAAGCAACAGTGGGTGACAACTAATGAGGCTGAGAACTGGAGGGTCTACTTGCAGGGGCCTTGCGTGGTGTGGCTCCGTAAATACCTGAAGATGGGAAATGAGACTCTACTGCGCAAAGGTACCAGGGGCAAAGATACTCATCCTAATGAACTGGCGTTCATATCTCCTCAGATGGAGGAAAGTAGGATCAGCTGTAATTTTCTATTTGTGTCTGTCTGTCTGTCTGTCTGTATGTATGTATGTATGTCTGTCAGGGTGTCTGTCTGTCTGTCAGTGTGTCTGTCTGTCTGTCTGTCTGTCATGGTGTCTGTCTGTCTGTCAGTGTGTGTGTGTCTGTGTGTGTGTTTGTCTCTTACTCCCTCTTTGTCTGTATCTCTGTCTGTCTGTCTGTCTGTCTGTCTGTCTGTCTCTCTCTCTCTCTCTCTCTCACACACACACACACACACACACACACACACTCACACTGGGGCAGGAATGGGTGTCCTGGTCCAACAACAGAGAATAATTCTCCAGAGGACTCACTCTTCTCTCAAAGTCTCAGTTCAGAGTCTATCTCAGGATAGGAGGGAAGACCCCTAGAATTGCCTTTCCCTTCAATCTGCAGTCCATTGTGAAGCATGGTCTCTGTCAGGTTAGATTTTCTGCTCCCACTCAGTGGTATGGTATGACTGCAATGATATAGTTTCTCAGCCCCATTGAGTCAGGACCAGAAGTATATTTTTCCTGGTAACCTAGAGTCTCCTACCCTAAGCTGGTTCATGCTGAAGCAAGGATTGAAAACAAGTAATCTATTATTCCAGATGCCTCAGTACAGGGTGCTGTGTAGGATCACACACCTCTTCTCTCTGTCCTACTGACTATTCCCAAAATGGTCACAAGAATACCATTGAGACTCAAGAAAAATATGTAATGTGCAAATTTTCCAACTCCTTCCCCTCAGTTCCCCCCAAAGCATATGTATCTCGTCACCCCAGACCTGAAGGTGATATCACCCTGAGGTGCTGGGCCTTGAGCTTCTACTCTGCTGATATCATCCTGACCTGGCAAAGGGATGGGGAGGACCAGACTCAGGATATGGAGCTTGTGGAGACCAGGCCTTCAGGGGATGGAACCTTCCAGAAGTGGGCAGCTGTGGTGGTGCCTTCTGGAGAGGAGCAGAGATACACATGTCATGTGCAACATAAAGGACTACCTGAGCCCCTCACCCTGAGATGGGGTAAGGAGGGTGAGGCACATAATCTGTTGTCAGGGAAACCAGAAGTCCTTCTAGAGACCTTGAGCAGGGTCAAGATTGATATTTGGGGTCAGGGTCCTATATTTTTCATTTCTTTCCAGGCAGGTCTCTCCAGTCTTTCATCACAATCATAGTAGTTGCTGTTGCCCTGGTTCTCTTGGGAGCTTCGGGGGCCACTATTGTAATGTGGAGAAGAACTCAGGTAGGGAAAAGGGCAGTCTGAGTTTTCCTTGCAACTGGGGGACTCCAAGCCCCAGATAGTTTTTTCTTCTCCCTTGCTGGGAAGGGGTGTGGCCCATTAATTCCCAAAGGCACAATTCTGATTCAATTGGGATTCAAATAATCCCAAATATTTGAATCATAAAAGATCAAAATCCCCCAAATACAATATTTTTGTCTTTAGTTTCAATTTAGTTAAAAACATCAAGGTAAATTTTAAAAGATAATTCCTTAAAAAAGCAAAAAAAACAGGAAAACATAGAAGCATGACAGAATAGGAGGATCACTTTACTCAATAAAATCGGTAATAGCATTCACATTTGCATGTGTATAGACTCAGATACACTAATGAAAGTCACATTGATGTAGCATTGTGAAGATGAACCATATTCACAAAGGCCTAGGTGGTCAAAAAAGTGTGTAAACACATATCCCTGTGGTGGTTGGTTGTGTGCAAGAAGCAGTCACCTGCAGTTGCATGAAGCAGTGCGGCAGACAATTTAAGGTTTCTGTGAAAGTTAAAATCAATATCCAGTCACCAAAGACTCAAATCTTGATAAATTTTATCTTACAACAATGCAGACATACAAAGAAGACATCTCCATTTATTGAAGATATTTCAGTCTTGCATATATGTACCATGATCACAAAGTTCACATAGAATTAGAACCCTTAGGAAAACTTTTACACAATTTGAATCTGCATTGTTAGAAATGATGTATGAATGGGATACACAATACATTTTTATATACTTCCGAGGATTTTAAATAAAACTAAAACAACTAAACTTGATGTGGAAAAAAAAAAAGAATCACAGGGCTAAATTGGGGACGGTTCCTGGATACAATCCATAGAGCTATTGTTCTGTAGTGATTGTCGATTATACTTTGAAGAATATCATCATAATTTGCAGGTGTTGCTGGTTTTCTTTCCAGCCTGGTCCCTCCATGACCTGTTGCTGCTTCAGCCCCAAATAAGCACACAGATGCGATGTTAGTTATAAAAGTGTTGGCCGATGGCTAGGGTTTTTTTTTTACTGACTACCTCTGTCTTAATTACTAACCCATAACTACTAATCTGCGTATTTCTACATGGTCTTGTCTTACCAGAGAACACCTGGCACATCCTATCTTCCCGGTCTCACATGGCATCTATGTGGCAGGCTCCCTCTGCCTACCTTTCCCAGAATTTTCTTCATCTCCTTGTCTGATAGCCCTGCCTATCCTTCCTGCCTAGCCACTAGCCAAACAGTGTTTTATTCATTAATAAATAAGAGAAACATATATACAGAAGAACATCCCCATGGTGAGGGAGCCTGTTTAAGAAAGTTGTGAACTTACTGTGAATTGTGGATGGAGCAGACAGAGTGCAGAATGTTCTCCCCACAAAGTGGCCTTTTACATAGGATTGCATCAATATGATAAATGGGTGCCACTTAAAACAAGGCATGAAGAAACTGCCCTGGTATGTACACATTATCCCTGTGGGAAAGGCAAAGGCCTGAGAGGAATAGTCTCTGCTCTTTACACACGGTCAAAGACGATAAGGCATAATGCCAGGTGAATTCCCTCCCTATACTTGTATTTGCTTAAGTTAACTATAAACATCACATCATGTTTTGCTTGCTTTAATAATAAAAATGAAAGTCCTCTGTTTGCACTACTCAAGTGGAAATACCTGGAGTCCCCTGGTTCTTTTCACGGGTCTTTTCAACATTCTTTTTTTTTTTTTTTTTTTTTTTTTGGGTTTTTACGAGACAGGGTTTCTCTGTATTGTTTCGGAGGCTGTCGGTCCAGCCTGGCCCCGAACGCACAAAGATCCGCCTGCCTCTGCCTCCCGAGTGCTGGGATTAAAGGCGTGTGCCACCACCGCCCGGCTTTTCAACATTCTTCAATCCTCACACACAACCTTGTTGGCCATGGGGCATGCTGACAATGAAAAGCAGCTTTTTCTTCTTTGATCTGGCTTTCCTTAGAGAATATGTCCACATTAACTTCCATGTGGTATTACTCAGTTTCAAGTGCTTCTATAATTGATAGGCCCTGAGCTGAGCATTCCCTGTTATATTTTCCAGTCTGCTGTGCCATAATTCTACATATGTAGACATCAGCATAAAGAGCCTGTGGGGGTGGGCACTATTTGTATGTTCTTTCTCATCATTTGCTTTAGTTAGGGTTTCTATTGCCATGATGAAACAATGCGACTAAGAGCAACTTGGGGAGAAAAAGCTTTATTTCACTCACACTATTATATCACAGTTCATCATAGAAAGTAGTAAGGGCAAGATCTCAAACAGGGCAACTTGACGCAAGTTAGAGTCATCTGAGAGGAGAGAACTTCAATTAAGTAAATGCTCCATAAGGTATGACTGTAGAGCAATTTTCTTAATCAGTGATTGACAGGGAAGGGCAGGTAAGAGATGGTACATAAGTGCTGCTTACTGGCTTGCTCAGTCACCTTTCTTATGGCACCTAAAACCACCAGCTCAGGGGTGGTGTCACCCACAATGGATGGGGCCTCTCCTATCAACTTTGAGGTTTCATATCCAAGTAATGCTGCTGTCTAGTAGTTCAGGTTTGGGTTCATTTTCTCTGCCAATTGAAGAATTAAAAGGCAGAAAAGAAGTGTTACCAGAAATGTTGAGGGCCCCAGTAGCACCATCATGTAATACCTGGGAAGTCAGAGACCCCTCTTTGGGGTTCTTTTTTTTTTTTTTTTTTTTTTTTGGTTTTTACGAGACAGGGTTTCTCTGTATTGTTTTCGAGTCTGTCGGTCCAGCCCAGCCTCGAACTCACAGAGATCTGCCTGCCTCTGCCTCCCGAGTGCTGGAATTAAAGGCGTGCGCCACCACCGCCAGGCCCTCTTTGGGGTTCTTAGTCCCATTAATAAGCAAAATTTTAAAAAGGTACAAACTGAAGCTGGAACTAAAAGAACAGACTCAAAATGAAGCTAGAGGGAAATTTATTAGTGCTTAAAAGGAAACTCCATGGCAGGCAAGCTGCAAATCTCACGGTTTCTAAGAAGGAATGAAGGAAGGGAGGGAGAGAGGAAGGAAAGGAGGGAGGGAGGATGTAAGTAATGTAGAAACATGGAGAAGTGAAGAAACAAAAGCCATGTTGCTTGACACAGGGCAGTACGAATTTCATAGTTAATCAGGGTTTAGATGCATACTTAGGCTCTAGCCAGCATCCAAAAGAAAAAAAATAAAGAAAAAAAAACCAGTTACACCTTCCTTAATCAGGAGTCAGAAAGATGTGCAGACCCAGAACAGTCTCACGGAGTACTAGGCTAGGCTCTAGGGTTTGCACTAGCGAGCAAGAATTCTGGGAAGGAAAAATCACAGTGTCTTAAGGGGAAACACCTTCTGAGGGTTAGTTCCTAACCAGGCTCTTAACCAGCCCCATTGGATTAACCCTTAAGGGAGGAAAGTAGGAGATGCCTCTATCCACAAGTAGATTCCATACAGTACACCCCTGCTGTCTTTGTAAGGCTGGCATATGTCATTTACAATTCATCTCCAGGTCAGTCTCTGTTGTTATAATGATAGATTTCTTCCTTCTTGCAGTTGAATAGTTTTTCTTTGTTTCAGGGAAGACTTATGGAACTCAAAAAAGTGCTATACTCATGATTTTAGTTTATCATGGACAAAGATACACATTAGAAATGGTGGTGGCTCACGCCTTTAATCCCAGCTCTCGGGAGGCAGAGGCAGGCAGATCTCTGTGAGTTCGAGGCCAGGCTGGACAGACAGCCTCCAAAACATTACAGAGAAACCCTGTCTCATAAAACCAAAAAAAAGAAGAAGAAGAAATGGTGAAAAGGACAGAGGGAGTGTTCTTTGTGGTCCTCAAGGTATACAACTCTTCCAAACACTGATGTTCAAACATGTGGACCTCACTTGTTACTCAAATTCTTCTAAGACTTCCTTGCATAGCTTCATTTTGGGGGTGGGGTGGGATTTGGCATCATAGCTGAATTTAATCTATAAATTCTTCACTAAAGAATCAGGTTATTGTCACCAAGTCCCAAATCCCCAGATCTCTAATCATATAATCTTTCTGTCATACTCAACCTCCCATCTGAGGTTTGCTTGGAGTCCATAAAACCTATTGTGAATATAAACTCAGGCATGAGCCAGGTGATCCATGAATTACTAAGACACTTAAGGCTTTTGCAGCTCTCTTCCAGGAACTCAGGGTAAAGACCAGACAAGTTGTCTAATATATATCAAGAATCTTGTCTCATCTCTCTCAGTCCCTCTTGTCTTCTTTTAGATTTCCACATCATTTAATTACCCTGGTATATATGCTATGGATATTGTGAAACCCCCTTGACACACTAAAATTCATATTTTAAAATACTATAGAATTGTTCTGTTTATTCCTATGTGATTTGAACTACGTGTAGTGCCTTCATGTACATAAGATATAAATCTTATTGGTCTCACCTAGGTAACTGTTGGTCTTTAAACAACTTCCCAAAGAGCTTCTTCAGAGCAAACATCACCTCCTTGTTCCTAAGGGTATATATCAATGGATTCAGCACTGGTGTGACTGCACTATAGATGATGGCCACCATCCGATCCTCACTCATGGAGGAGGCTGATGCTGCAGTAGGGCGGATGTACGTGAAACCAACAGGTCCATAGAAAAGACAAACTACCATGAAGTGGGAGGTACAAGTGGACAGAGCCTTCTTTAGCATTCTGCAGGACTGGTTCTTGAAAAGAAGAAAGGCAATGATGTAGAAATAGGAGAGGAGTGTAAAAAGGAAGGCCCCCATGGATATGCTGCCTGTAACAACAGAAAGAAGCCACTGATTGAGCACTGTGTTGTCACAGGCCACTTCTAAGAGGGGCTTGACATCACAGAAGAAGTGACTGAGTTTGTGAGAGTGGCAAAAGTTCAACTGAGCAGTCATGACAGAATGCATCAGAGCATAGAAAAAGCTGGTGATCCAGGCTATAGCTGCCAACAGGACGCACAGCTGAGAATTCATGATAGCAGTGTATCTGAGT